GTATTTATGTATTGATGACATGTTATCAGTGAGTTAGAATCTACAATTACTTAATTTCTATTTGCTGCAATGTTTTTTTTCCCACCAATACACGGCATAACAAATTCAGACACTGCTTTCCTTATAACTCATAACATGTGAGTAAATATCTGATCTGGAATGTACAAAATTGATGATTGCTATTATATGTTTGCATTTATGCCTTAAAGGTTTATCTTTCTCTGTGTACATTATGGCTAAGAATAATCTATAATTTTTTTTTTATCAAAGTTCGATTTGAAAGTGTGAACTCAAGAAATCTGCATCAACCACTGGTATTACATCTACATTGTGAAACCTAGTATTTCTTATACTTGTAAAGAATTTTTCTGTGAAGAAATTCCACTCATTTTTCCAATTTTAATAAATCTCATTCCCATTGTACAACAAAGAAATTCAAAAAAAAATCAATTTTCCCACCCAAACAAAATTATGAAAAATTTGACGCACGTTTACTAAGTATCATCCACGATATTAACAATCCAAAAGCGAAGAAAAGGAAATATAAAGCTCATCAAACGCATATAATCCAGCATCCACAAAAAATTATACAATAAATCACTTAAACTTGTTGACACATAAAAATTCAACCCAAATCGAACGGCCCAAGGAATGAAGCCCAATTGGAGGATCCTCAAATCAGATAGCCCAAAGAACGAAGCCCAATCAAACAATTCAAGATGAAGGCCCAAATAGGGAGGCCCAAGAACGCGGTAACACCATCGCCCAAGTTTGCAAGTCGCCCAGAATCTGAGCGAATGGAGTGCCATACAGTCGTCCAGAGCTGTTACTCTATTCTCGTTCAAACCTTCGAGTCGCCCAACGCCTTAGCAAACATAAAATGTTGTGGTTATCAAGAAGTGCAGTTATCAAAATAGTTATTAAAGCAGCCCTATCACGTTCCACGATTCAAAGAACTTAATTGAAGACGGTTGAACAACAAAGAGTAATGGCAGCAGTTAGAAAATGTAGTTCCATAACAAGTTGGCCATTACGAGGAAAATGGGCAGTTATAGAACGATCCAACAGTTTTTAGGCGGTTGATCACAAAGAGATCATCCAGGGAATATAAAAGGAAGGAAGGAAGGACATAAAGCAAAAGGACCGAATCAAAAACTCTCGAATAGAGAATATGTAATTTTAAATTTCTTAGCTTAGATTTAAACACTTCTTTCAGTAACTCGTGTGCTTGCGCCCCTTTGAAGCATTCTGTTTTTAATTTCCAATTGTAAAGTCATTGCCAATAAAGAACGCCCCTTTTTGGGACTTTGTCTCAAGAGGTTTGTCCCTTACACAATCGTCTGATCCCTTTTAATTGTTAGCGACAAACACGCGCGAAACAATTTGGCACGCCTAGTGGGACAGTGGTGTTTGGTGTTGAAAATACAAAAGGTGAAACAATATGCCTCAGAGATCCGATAAGGAAGCAGCAAGTCAAGGAGGAGTCCAATCTGTGATCGAGCGATATGAGGAGCAGCATGCCTCTCTACGAACAGATGGACAGAATTAGAGCAGTAACAGTCGTTACGAACCAGTGACAGAGTTGAGTTCTCAAACCATGCGTGCACTACTTGGAGAACTCACACAAGATGTCGTTGAACAGGTAAATTTTCGAAGTATTCATAATATGGAAAGATTTACCCAAAATGAGAATGCACATTATGACAACATGACCAAACAACTAAACACTTTGAACGAAACAATGAATACGTTAGTAGGCCAAATATGTCAACCGGTTAAGCCTCTTGCAAACCACTTTCAAACTAGGACAATTGTGGGACATAATCCCTCAGTCCTAAATCCGAATCAAGGGGTAAAACCACTTTCTGGTCCCTCTACCTCAAACCAAGGGGTTGGTGCAGTGCTAAATCAGAACAATGGTAGTGGTACGCCTAACTTGGGGGTAATCCAAATGTAAGAGATAATATCCTAAACAATGGACAGAATACCCCACGTGTTAATGAGGGAGTAGATGTTCAGGCTAATGGTAATGGCCCTAATCATGGTAACTTTGGTACTAATCAAGGACCAAACATCAGGTCTCATGCAAATCAACCGATTAACCAACCTGTAGGAATTCCATATGACCCCAACGTCATGTTGAGGAATCAGATTATGGAAATCGTACAGGATCAGATAGCTTTTGGGGTGCGTCCTGTCATTAGGCCGACTTACACAAAGTTATATCCTGATTGGGTAGACCAAGCATATCCATGGCCTAGAGGGTATAAAGTGCCAGAATTCTCATTGTTTACCGGTTTAGAGAGAGGTGTCTACTCTAGAACACATAGGGCGATTCACATTACAAAGTGCTGATGTAACTGATTACCATAAAATGAGGCTTTTCCCTAATTCATTAACAGGAGTAGTTTTCTCCTAGTTCATCAACTTGCCAGCGAACTCTGTTCAAACATGGCAGCAATTGGAACAGCTATTCCACGCTCAGTTTTATAAAACTGAGTCTAAAGTCACTTTGGCTGATTTAGCGAATCTACGTCAAATGCCAAATGAATGGGCAGAAAGTTTTCTACAAAAGTTCAAGACAACAAGAAGCAAGTATTTTGTACCTCTGCCCGAAAAAGAATTTGTCAAAATCGCTCAGGGCTGTTTGAGCTTTGATTTAAAAAAGAAATTCCAAGACAAGGAATTTCCTGACCTTTTCCAGTTGAGTGCGAATGTGATTAGGTATGAACAACTGATAAGAGAAGAAGAGCATATGAAAAATTCTAGTAAAGGGACTTATTAAAAAGACCTAAATTTTGACGTTCATACCATCAGCGACGAGTCATACGATCAAGCCGAAATGTGTTTGGCCGAATTGGTCAAAGGAGACACGTATACTTGTCCTATAATGGCTAAGCCTAGACCATCGGGCAAAGATGAGCCCATGAAAGATGGAAACATAAAGGCTAGAACGTTCTCGTTCGATGTAACCAAAGCTGACCTTATATTTGATAAATTATATAGGGATAAGCAGATAAAGCTGAGCGATAAGCATAAATTGCCAAACCCTGAACAAATTAAAGGTAAAAAATATTGTAAGTGGCATAATGCATGGTCACATTTGACTAACAATTGCTTGATCTTTCGCCATATATTGCAGGAGGCCATTGAATCAGGACGAATTACGTTCGAAGATAAGAAGAAGATGGCAGTGGATGAAAATCCTTTTCCACAGCCACTTGGAGTGAACATGGTGACGTCTGGTTTCAAAAACAAGTTGCCAAAATTCGAGTTGGTCGTAGATGATGGAGAAGAGGATCCTAGACCACATCCTAGTGTCTTTGAACGAATTAAGGGGAAAGAACCAAAAAAGGACTAAGATGTCCTGTGTGCAAGATGTAAAAGAGAAGTGAATGGAAATACGGAGAAACCAGGGACATGGTAGCATCCCCATCGCCCTACTTTCTTCCCAAACACTCAGCCTGGTAGAGGGCGAGGTACATCATTCTATAGAGGACCGCCTTTTGAGAGGTAGTTCAAGCCAGCAGATAATGGGAGAACATTCAGGCCACAACCTCGCCGGCCAAATGTATGGCATTCGTTCTAGTATAATGCAGGAAGAGCATTACCCTTCGATGAGATGACTAAAACCCAACAAAGGCGTTTCCAATGAAACTATAGACGAATGATGAGGCAGCAACATGGAGTGCCACATCCTAAAGTGCCTAAACTACTCAAGATAGCCAATCAAAATGTTCTCAAGGATAGTGAAAAAATCGGTACAGATGAATCAATGAAAGAGTTGCCAGAAACTTCTTCTGGGAGATCAAAGTTTGAGCGGGACAGAAGGGATGGAGAAGATCCAGATCAGCCCCTTACTATCCAGTTCGGTACGTTACCTCCTGTCGTGGCCAATAATTACTTACTGGCCAATGAATTCAAGAATAAAGAAAAAGAAGAAGAAAGGGAGGACAATGAAGGAGAAGCTTGCGTGCTGGAATGTGAAGAAGGCCAGACTTCTAGAGAGGCCTACAACGATGAAGAAGACGACGGGATGACAGACATTGAAGAAGAAATCAACCTAGAAGCAGAATGAAGAAAGAGAGGAGTATCGTGCAATACTTTGTTGAAGCAACTACATCGAGAGGGAGTTCGCGAAATAGACTTGTTGGGAGAACCATCTGGGCGTCCTTTCGATTTCTACATACTGTACGGGACACCCAAAAGAAAGAAGAGAGTGCCTCACTCTGAAAAGTATGGATCACCTCCAAGAATAATGCCCCTTCCCACAGGTTGGGTAACTGATGAGGAAGCATTAGAAAAAAGTAAGAAGGAAATTCAAGAGACAGAGGATCAGCGCGATATGCTGCACGTCGACTTATCACAGGGGGATAATTCGACAGAAAACAAGCAGGAAGTAGAAATAGAGGCTGCCGAAAAAGTTATTTTTAAACGGCCAGCCATGAAATTGACTAAACACTTGAGGCCATTGTACGTTAAAGCTCTAGTTAACGGCATCTCTGTGGCAAAAGTGCTTGTCGATAATGGAACAGCTATAAACACCATTCCATCTAGGATGATGAGGAAGTTTGCAAAGACAGAAGGTGACATGATTCCATCAGAAGTAATCCTTACGAGTTTCA